CTTCACTCTTCCTACTTAGAAGAATTGCTTTAGCTATTCTGGGTCTCTTATTTTTCCAGATAAGTAACCTACATTTTTTACTATAGCATTTGTTAATGTTTTCCATAATATGGTAATAGAGCTATCGTAATATGAACAAAAGATTCAGGAATCTTACGTCTTTCACCCCATACTCTAATGTATTCTTCTTCCAATCATTAAAGTTCAAACCTGGAATCCTTACCTTATATTTATTTGGTATTGTGAAAATTTGACCAGCCAACTCTTTTGCCAGAAGCAATGTATTCATTTGAATTTTTATCTCGTGACTCCTTTGGTTAGCTGTTGATTCTGCTCCCCACACTCCTTAAAACTCTTATTACCTTGGTTTCCATGACATCATTCCCTAGGTTCTGCTTTTGCCTTTGTGACTGCTCAGTGTCAGTCTTCGATGGATTTCCTTACTACTTCTGTATTAGGGCTTCCAGAAACTTTTTATTGGTGGTTTTGTTTGTTTGTTTTTCAATAACATTTTTTTAATGAAACCAATATCCTTTATTTTATTTGTTTGTTTTTTATATGATGCTGAGGATCAAACCCAGTGCCTCACACATGCTAGGCAAGCACACTGCCACTGAGCCACAACCCCCCATCCCCTTGTTGTTGGTTTTTTTATTTCTTTTTTTAATTTAATCCTTTTTCTGCATAATCTTATACCTGCCCTGTTATTGTTAAACCTTTTCCACCAAACAGATGTTTATCTCTTTCCCTGCCTAGAATATTTCTTCTGGGCTCCTTGTAGTTCATCTGTGTGTATTTGAGAACTGGCTGTTTCATAGGCATTAGAAACTCAACTTGGCTTAAGCAGAACCCATCTAAACCTTCTCTTTGCAGTGTGTAAGTAGTGTCAACATTCACCTATCACCCTAGCCCAGATTTTTTACTTCACTTTGCTTTTTCCTTCATCTGTGAACTCCCCAAGCTCTGACCCTCACCCAAATTGATGATTTTTTTGTTGTTGTTCCTTACAAGATCTTTCATCCCCGTACTATGTGTAACCCATTTTCCTCACAGTCCTTTCCCCAGTCCATTTTTCACATTTTTTCCAGAGTGATCTGTCTTCTAAACCTCGAATCTGGTATTTCTAATACTTACTCTCCTCTGTGAGAGAAATAGCACTGCCTACCTTGGTAGGCTTATTTCTTGTCATTCTTCTCTCATGATTTGTACTGACAATTTTATTGAAGTTTGTCAGATTATTTCAGACTCTTTAATTTTCTGCCTCTATACTTTTGTTCATTCTGCTTTCTTGGCCCACTTAGTCAGTATTTGATATTTCTTTTGTTAAGGCTGGTTATTCTCTTCCTTTAGTGCTTCTGTAGCTTGTAGTTCAGGTTATCACAATACTCACTGTGCTCAGTTGTTTATGAAATCATGTGTAAAGCATTGAGAATAAGCCACTGACCTGCACATCTAGCATGACCCCTGGACTCAGGGCAAATGTCCATTTAATGTTTGTTAAAATAACAGTTATCTGACCTTATGTCTTTAATAAACTACTAGGACTAATGAAGGTAGAAGGAAAGGTTTATTTCACAGTCACTGGCTCTGCTTGATTTTAGGTTGTGACATGCTCACAAATAGATACTGGAGTAAGTAAGTAAAAGCTAGCTGATTTACTCCTTGTTACTGAGACTTTGGGCAAAGCTATCAACTTGATTCAGTTGTTTGGGATTATAGGGCCCCAAACCTCTATATATTTTGAAAATTAATATTTGCATGCCAATAAAAACCCATTTTGAAGTCATAAAAATTTAAACTACTTCCTCTGCAAATGATTTCTAGATTTTATCAAAAGGAAAGAACTGGGTTCTCTAGTTGAACTTGGAAAGAGACATTTGATTATGTTGTTTTTCACTTTTGGAACATTGTCATCAATAAAATACGTTGAATTTTTATGTATTGCTATATGAATTTAACACATCTTAATTAACAAAAATTTTAAAGGACTAGGTAGATAATACCTATTTAAATATCAAATGATGCATAGTTTAAATCTGAGCCTCATTGATATTCAGTGCATAATATTATGTTTCCATGATGATTAAGATGAAAATCCTAAAACGTCTTTATTCAAAGCAAAATGAGTCATTCTTCTGTCCATTTTTTATTTACACAGCAATGAATTGTTCAGCTGAAGAGACTGAAAGTGACCACAGCTCAGAAACACTTGCTAAAAGACTGTCAGATGTGTGCCAGTTACGAAGAGACATTGATGAATTAAGAACTACAATATCAGACCGCTATGCTCAGGACATGGGAGATAACTGCATAACCCAGTGATCAAGTGTTGGTCCCACAGCAATAATGACCCATTGTTAAAGCTGCTGAGTTACAGTTCTTCATATTTCTTTTTAAGAGTTACAATGGAAAATTGCAAGTGACATACCACTTGCACATAGGTTGTCTGTGTGTGTGGGTGTGGGTGTGGGTGTGTGTGTGTTGATTTGTTTAATTGAGGGAAAATAGGAATGTGAGGAGATTTTTAAGGGGCTTATCTAATCAGGCAAAATAATTATCATTTGAAAAATGTGATAAAGTCAACAAGAAAAAGCAAATTTCCAAACTACTGATTATAGGACCAATTTGTGAATAGTGCCCTTCAGATAAAGGGACAGATTTTGTTTACTTCTGTAGGTTTTATGTGTTTGCATATGCATATGTGTTTGAGGTTTGTGTGTATGTGAGTGCTTTTAAGTTCACATAATTATAAAGATTTCAAGCATCAAATCAAACCTTCTAAGAAAGGCACACACTGTTTATTCTTATATTTTTTTCATATGGAAACTTGTGTTGTATTTTGATATTTTCAGGGGCTAGCTGAATAAGAGTTCCAACAGTAGGCAAGTGTTTAATAGAAGTGCAGCAGGCAAAACTATTTGTGATTTAAATAATCACTGAACTGAGATGATGAGGTTCTGGAGTTGGGATAGGTCAGCTTTTTCTCCAGAGTGATTGTAAGAGTGTGAAGTACTGATGAGATAATCTTTTTCATCAGCACTATAATTTATACATTACAAGAAAGTTTAACATAAGTTGAAATTATTTTATCCTATCTCTTACTACTTATGGTTTTTTGTTTATATATGGCAGTATAAACAAAGCCATATATAATTAATGCAAACAAGGCCTCAGATCATTGTTAAGCAAAGATTGTCAGACTGACTCTGGAATGATAGTTTATTTATCAAAGTCTCAGCATTTACATTTTAACAGTTTTGTACCTGTTTTAATTTTGCAACTACAAAAAAGCCAGCTCTTTATCTGAACTAACACTAACATAAAACAAAATCTAAACCTAGATGATAATTTTATTTCCTTTTATTAGATATATTTCATTAATAACAGGGATTGTTATAGAATATGAACTTGGCTTGGTTAGTTATTCATCTGGAGGACAGGGTATTAGTATGAAATAAACTGATTTTTAATAGACATGCAACATGTAAACTTCTAAATGAATGTTATCTGTTTAGTTCTTCAGAGCATTGATCATATTCTTTTGAATATACTTAGTTATGGTAAACTATTGTCCCCTATAAATTGGTTTGATTTTTCAATATTGTCAGGGTTTACTTAGGCAGGACTAAAGAAGTGGGGAATACGATGTGTAGATCAGTTAGGATGATATTGTTTGTTTGAGAGCAGATCATATGCCTGTTTTCTTGCCAAGCATATGTATACAAAGGCTGCTCCTAGAAAATATTTTTTTTTTCTGTTCTCAACAGAGGAAGCATAATAGAGCAAGGCATTCAAGGAGACACCCAGGAAAACTCTATTTAGAATGTTGGCTTATTTACAGCTCTCACTAAACTGTTACATGATTCTAGTTCAATACTTCACTATAATACACTGTAAGACATCACATCTCCCTTTCTTTCAGTGCCTGAGTCCATGCTGCTCCTCTTTATAGGATTTGGCCACTAAGAAATCAGTGCATTATAGTGATTCTGCATCCTAAGGTCCCTGACCTCAGAAAGGACTTAGTCACTATAAGAACTTGGTTTCCTAATGTATTCATTTGGTTTTTAGTGTTAGTTCTTCAAAGACAATCAAAAAGTAGTAAATTTGTACCAAAAAAAAAATGGATGCAAAGAATTCTGCCTTACAAGGATTAATATCTGTGAAGATGTCCCTTTACAGAAAAGTGGATCATAATATCTGCCACAGTTCAGCCACAATTGCACCCAATAACATTTTCACATTCTCTTTGAATAGAATTCACACCTTCCTACCATGATTTCAAAAATAAGGCACCCTTGGGTCAATGGGTTCTTACTTAAATATCTCCTAAGTTTAATAGTTTATGTTGTGGAGTTTTATGGTTATTATTCTTTCAGGCAGAAAGAATAATAACCTAGCCTGGTTGGGATGAAATGATTTTTTGTTTTAGTAAATTTTCTTTCTTAAACTTACAAAATTTAATTTAATTAACATATCTTAAGGTAAAAAAATATAACAGGAACTTTTGCTGATGTATTTCACTTTGGAAAATGTATACTCTTGTTTTAAAAAAGCATGAAGATATGATAGTTTAAGTATAATCTTGGATTATAAAATATAATTTCTTAAGAGTCTGAAGTTTGTAAAGGGGCCTAGAAAATAAGTAGAAATTTTGTAAGGGATTCTGAGAAAAAAATGAAACTAGTAACATTCTAATTAGGCAGCTTTTAATTTTTAATTTTTATTTTTCAGAAAACTTCCCTTCCTCAAGACACCCACACCCTCTTGTGTTAGAGCAGTCAGTAATAATATTGGTGTCACATTAAAAACAAATGTTTTACTCTTAGGTCAGCTAAGACAGACAAATAGCAACACTATGGTGTCTTGCCCCAGAGTGTTCATAGAAGTTATTACAGTGATACATACCTGAAATGGAAATTAATTTAAGTTTTAAAGTCAGTCTATTTTAAATTTTCTTTAGATAATTAAACCTCTTTTTAATTATGCTTTTGTGTATTATTAAATGCTTATCTTTTTAGGAAGTGTCATAATTGATCTTTTTGCGCTTTGAAGTAAAGCCTGTTCCAACTCAGTCATATTCAGCGTGGATGAATATGACTCCATAACAGATCCACTTTGGCTGTGCACATAACAACATTAGCTGACTCAAGGGCACAAAAGCTGTTTTCATTTGATGTCAGAAAAATACAAAAACTTTAGATTGTTAATAAATTTTTAATGGCCTGTAATTTTTAAGAAGTGTTTTAAGTATTGACTAGGTAAGATATGCCTGAACTTATTTTTAAAAATATGTGGCCCCATTTTATATTTGAAATAGGATTTAATATTTCAATTTAGCAGTATTATATCTTAGTGAAATTTATTTTGGTTGTGACAGTTTATTAAACTGAAATAGGCTTTCTTTCAGTAGCTTGTTAAAGACAATCCCAAGGGCTGGAAAGTGTTGCTAAAATGAAAATTGTACATTTCTGACTTACTAATAAGCTTACAAATTAATGTTGTCATTGTGCAAAACTCAACAGGAATCTTTTAGAGAATATTTTTAAAGAAACTACTTTAATGGGAAAATGTCCTTTAAATATCAGTAATAGTTCATTGAGTCACAGTAACTGAACACCTGGACTGTATTTTTACATAGCACAGTTCAGCTCAGGCATAACTTAAGTTTGGATTATTAGCATTCTGTTATTTAGATTTCTATCACTGTAGATATATAATTACATATGTAAGCAATTCTTATAACCATGCTCACTCAGACTGCCAATAACTGTAGCTCTCAGAGCTAAAGTTAATTCATTTTGTTTTCCATTTTCAAGTTATTTTCAGTGTTCACAAAACAAGAGGAACTATTTTCTATTTGTTATAAAAAGTAAACTTCCAACTTTGCCCCCAAATGCCATTCATAGTAATTGCCATATGATTATATCACACATTTAATCATGAAGGGGAAATATTTGGGAATTTTTTCTTATTTAAAAGAAATATTGAATACAATATGAATGGTTTCAAATCAGTAAGTCTTTAGGAGCACTGTTGCAGCTGCATTCAGAGAACCTTTTGTGCCTTTTTGCCTGCAGCAAGTGTTCATTCTATCTCACATGAGTTATAAGAATGGTGATGATTGTTGCACCTTGTTCTTTAAATAGACTTGATTAAGGACTTTTTTTTTTTTTTTTTTTTAAGCAAGGAACGTTTGTCATTAGGAAGTGGATGCCTTAGTGAACATGAAAGGAAGTATCACGTTCTTGGAGCCCAGCCTCCCTGTATAGTGTGAGGAATTCCTATAGAATGTATTCATTTGTTGTGTATATGTATGTACATAGATATATATGAGTAGTTATTTAAATATATAAATGTAAAGTTCAGTGTCATGTTGGTGTGATGGCAAGAAGTAGTAAGGTGCTAGGTGGTTACATTAAAAGCACAGCTGAGTGCATAATCAGTCACTGTGACTGGTGGTTTTTGTAAACTAGGTTCAGTTTTTGAACCATCCAAAATACCTCATGTGTAAATACAGTGTTCATAACTTAATTAAAATACAGTTATTGTAAAAAAGAATGTGAAGCCACTGGCTGGCTTATGCCTTCTGACCTATCACTTTTGCCTCCTTTTTTAAAGGGGTTGTTTTTGGTTTTATCTTTTAATGGGGTTTACAGCTAGAATTTTGAAAGCCAAAGCTCTATTTATTAAACTAAGAAAAAAGTTTTCAATGTTAATGGCTAGTATTTTTCCACTGGATTATTGTTTGTTGATGTTGGAATTTGTATTTACAGAGAAATAAATTTTTTATAAAAAGATTTATGTATTCCTGCTGCCTACTGTTAATTGAATGTATTTGAAACTCCAGACTCCCTGTCCTGAATTCTCAATGATAAGAATATGCTGACGTGACTTTTAGGTAAAAGCCTTCTATAAATACAAGAGACCCTTTGACTAGAATATGGAGACTTCTGCCTCTTAAGTCTGTCTTATAAGCTTTTTTCTCAGGCTTTCCTATGAAAGGTATGGAGATTTTCTGATGTCAGGAGTCATAAATACAAAGTTACACTTGTATACATTTCAGATAATTGTGCTATATTCATCTTATGAATTTCTAAAATTCATGTTTGTTTAAATTAGTCTGATTTTTGAAAAATCAGTTTTTCAAAAAACTCTGGCTTCAGTTCTTCACATTACTAAAAGGTTGGATTGGTGAGCCAAATTTTTTTTTTTTATTTTCCTCATTCAAATCAGAGGTTGAAACTTTACTGAAACATGTACAAATGCAGCCTTAGTGTGGACCTTGACTTTGAGCTTGACGTTTGCTAGACTAGGCCCAGAGATGGCCTGTGATGGTACCTGAGGTTCTTGATCTGAAACAAAGGCTGGAGACTTGCTTCTGGTTAATATTTAGATCAGCAGCATCTTTTTCCAGTTCAGATAACTTGGCATTGCTCTCAGAGTGTTTAATAAAGCCTTTCTTTAAATTATCAGGAAAAAGATACCTTTGGAAATCCTGCATCAAGTGTCATAGAAATGGGGTGGAATAGATAAAATCCTAGAATATTTCTAGACAAGTAGTTTCTTTTTCAAAATCAAAGATTATTTTTTAATCTGTTTTTATTTTTTAAAAAGATACTTTAATGGGGTAATCAACACAAGTTTTTGGTGGGGTGTTGATTTTGGTAATATTTTGAGCTTTTTTAAAATGTCTACTCTCAATATTCCAATGAAGTAATAAAATCACAAGGAGAAAAAAAAAATGTCAGCTTTCCCCAAACAGATACATTCTATCTCAAAAAAGGAGACTCATTTTAAAATATGATGTGAAATGTTAGTAATGGCACAAATGCCCAGAGTATTGAATCAGTAAAACAAATAGTTTACAAGAGGAAATTCCAGTTTCAGAAATGAAATCATGACAAAAGATTTCTTAAAAAGAATTTTTAAGTGCTGTCCTTGACCAAGAATTTGGTGTGACCACCATAAAAAAAAATCAAATTTAGTCTGCCTATATTTTTCTCTAAACATAGCCTTATTCCATCTCTTGATTCCTCCCTAAAAGAAGTTTTGAGCTAAACATTTACCTATACCCTGTAACAAGGAACTTCTACTCAGATGTTCACTTGAGATAATTAAAAACAAATGCTTAGAGACTTTATTTAAATGAACATTTATTGCAGTTTATTTCATATCAAAAGCTGGAAATAGCCCAGGGTCTATTAGTAAGATTTCTTGACCAAGCATTTAAAAAGAACTTTTTTTCCCCCACAACTTTGGGTTCTAAGAGTCATTCATATGCTATGTACTTTTTTGGTGAACAAGAAAAGTTGAGACTACCTGCTTATCATGGCCACTTGTGTTTACATTTCCCTGTGGAGTATTATCCTTTGTCATGATGCCAACATGTTCCATGATTCCACAACTCGGGTGAAGCACTTGATCTCATCCTGAAACAAACCTTTTGTGCTATTTGTTAATTATTCAGGGGCTCATCTCATACCAGACTTCAGCAATAAACAGGCACCTTATCACATAGAGGCATGAAATTTTTGTGAAATAATTTTCCTCTGTCTCTTACTAAGTAAATCTCCACAATTGTGGAACCAGGCCATAGACTGAGACATAGTTATCTTGCAGCTCTAGCATTTCTAAAGCATAGCATTCTCATCCTGTTTTATTCTAGTTATATAGGTTTTAGTAAGGGCAAATCTAAGGTCTAGTATAAGAGGAACAAAATGCCATTTTTTAAAATAAATGCAATTGCATCTAAATTTGAGAAGACTTATGCACAAGTCTGGAGAAAAATAATAATACAGTGGGCATCCCATTTAAACAAGGAAGCGAGTTATTTCTTATTCCTTCACTGACAAAAGCATTTAGTTATAAAACAAGTGGTTAAAGTTGTTTAATGACCCATGATGATTAAAACACAGCACAGTGTGTCTTCTCTATATTATCATCATTATTCTTTATTAACCAGCACTTGAGCACATGCCAAGTAAAAGGACCTTGCATAAATTATTCTACTCATCCCTAAATATAATATCCTATTAAGTAGGTGCTATTATTATCCCACCTTAGAGATTGAGGCACAGAGAGGTGACATCTTGACTAAGCTGGAACAGCATGTAACTCCCTCCCAAACCTGCTCCTTCACTGGGCTGCAGTATATCTTGCACCTTCATTCCAAGAATACTTTCTAGTGACTTATTCTCCGTCACATCCCATTTGTATTCATTTCCTAATACATCTGTAACAAATTACCACAAATGTATTAGTTTCACAACATCTATTTTACATTCATTCTAGAGGTCAGAAGTCCTAAGTGGATGTCGGCTAAAATCAAATTATTGTCGGCCTGGGAGCGAATCTGTTTCTCTGCCTTTTCTAGCTTGTAGAGATCACCAAATTCCTTGGCTTGAGGCTCCATTCTTCCATCTTCAAAACTAGTGATATTGGGCCGAGTCCCTCTCACGCTACCATTTCTTTGGTTCTCTTCTACCTCCCTCTTTCCCTTTTAAGAACCTTCTGATTACATTAGGCCCATCCAGGAAAAGTCCATATTTCAAGGTGAGCTGATTTGTAACTAAGTCAGTTTTCCATTACTATAACAAATACCTGAGATGATCAGCTTATGAAAGATTTATTTTGTCTCACAGTTTGGGGGTTTTCAGATCATGATTGATTGCACCATTGCTTTGGGTCTATGGTGAAGCAGTGGATGGGAGAAGTGTGAAGTGGAGCAAGCCATTTGCTACATGGCAGGGGAGTGGAAAGGGAAAGGAGGAATGGGTCGAGGTCCCTGTATCCCCCTCAATGACATGTCCTCAGTGACTAGAGGACCCTTACTAGGCCCCTCTTTAAAGGTTCTACCACTTCCCAACAGCACCAAGGTGGGAACTAGACTTTTAGGACCCTTAGGGGACATTTCAGAAGACCCAAACTCCAGCACTAATGTTAGTTCTCTCTGCAACCTTAATTCACCTTTGCCATGTAATCTAATGTACTCACAGGTTCTGAGGATTGCAAGGCAGACATCTTGGGACCCATTATTCCATCTTCCATAGCATGTCTTCAAACAGTTGCTAACTCTTTTTAAAAAGTCTAAATTAACTGATTTTTTTTTACATCTAAATTATTTCCATTTCCCTTGCTCTGAGACCCAAATTACTATAACCTAGATGTCAGATATTTGGAGGTTTTTAGCTTTTAAAAAAAATTTAATTGGAGCTTACAAAGCCACATTTTAAGCTATATCATTGATGAGTCAATGAGTAAATACCTTTTACTTCACTCAAGAAAAGACTTGTGATACCCCAGATTTAACTTCTTCAAAAAGAAAAGCAGTGGTGGTGCGGGAGGAGAGCATTAAAGTTTTTGCAAAGAATTTGATTTTTTTGTAATATTGATATGTGTTATACAGTGAAGCACAATCCATATTTTTTAAGGTATATAGAGCACAATTTTTCATATCTCCGGTTGGATACATAGTATATTCACACCAATTCTTGTCTTCATACATGTACTTTGGATAATGATGATCATCACATTCAACCATCATTAATAATCCCATGCCCCCTCCCATCCTTCTGCCCTATCTAGAGTTTGTCTATTCCTCCCATGCTCCCTCTCCCTACCCCACTATGAATCAGCCTCCTTATATCAGAGAAAACATTCGGCATTTGGTTTTTGGGGATTGGCTAACTTCACTTAGCATTATCTTCTCTAACTCCATCCATTTACTTGCAAATGCCATGATTTCATTCTCTTTGATTAGATTCAGATTAAAAATTTTTAGCAAAAACTGAGTGCTGTGTTTTATTTCTCATTTATCATATTAAGTATATACCATTATTGATGAGGGTAAATTTTCTTATATTGGTGAATCTGAAACACCTTTGATTTTAACAGTCAAATGGAGAACAAGTGGTAAGGCCTTGATCTACGGGAGGTACAGAGTTAGAAGGATGACATCTGTATAATCTAATGTACTCACAGGTTCCTCAAAAGATCCAGATGAAGCAGCTTGCCCTGCTCCAGTTATGACCAAGTTCCATCTAGAGAGCCTAGAACCAAGGCTGGAGCTGAGACTGGATAACTGAGTGAGGCCCACTGAGTCTGGAGCATTGCCTTAAGATGAATCCAGCTAAGCCTTTCCCTGGAGACTGGCACTAAGGTTTGAGCCCCACACAGCAAAGCCAGAACCAAGAACAGAGGTACCATCTCAAACCAGGTGTGCTCTGCGATGCCAATGCTTGTGAAAGGCTTTCTTCCCAGATCGAGAAGAAGCCTATTCTCAAACAGAGAACAAGGAAGAAACTTGATGAAAAGCAAATTAGAACAGGATTTGACAAAGTCACCACCATAAAGCATATCCAAAAGCATCATCTGTTCCAATGGTGTCATAGATTGTGTTTTTCACTGTAACAAAATGCCTGATACTGGGTAATTTATACAGAAGTTTTCTTGGCTAATAGCCTAGAAAATGAGACTGGACCTGACACATGTTCAGCAGCAGGTCAGGACTTTCTTGGTGCATCAAAACATGGTAGAGGGTATTGCATAACAAAACAGAGCAAACATATGTCAGCTCTTGGCTCTTCCTCTTTTATAAAACCACCAGTCCCATCATGAAGACCTGAGCCTAATGAATTTATCTAATCCCAATTATATTGCAAAGGTCCTCTCTCTGAATACCATCAATATGAATTTGGAGAGTAAGTTTAAACATGAGTTTCAGAAGGGCATTCCAACTATGTCAGATAGGGCTGATTCTGATTCCCTTTTCACAGCTTGCCATGTATATCAACTCA